TGCCATGGTGATGCCACACTGCAATATTCTTATTCTGCAGCCCGCCCTCCTGCCGACGCTTGCAGCAGCTTCCAAGCCAGGGAGAGAAAAAAAAAAAAAAAAAAGCAACAGAGGAGGGAAGGGAGGGAAGAGGAGACACGAGGACAGACCGGAGTAGAGGGGGTCTGCGGCATGATCCACTGGAATGCTAATCACGGCTTCTCGACTGTTCGTCCTTCATTATGCAGGAGACAATGCAAAGGACAACAAGGGAGGGCGTTAATGTGTATGTAAACACCCCGGCATGTGTACAAAAATACATCCATGCACGAGTGGGCACATACATTCCACACAAGCCTGAATTATAGACACAAGGTCATGCTCATGAACACACACATTGAGATGGTACAACAAACACACAAAAAGAACAATTCACACATACATTCCACTCTCATGCTTCAACACACACGTGTGCATTTAAACAGCAACATATGTCGGGACTGCAAAGCATAATCTGATGCCAACCAGCAGTCTGCTCTGCTGCTGAAACAACTACGCCATTAACAAATGCTTAATTATTAACGAGCCACAAAATGGTTCTAATTGCTCACTGCAGTCTCCATCAGCATTCCCAAGACATTCCTGGATCAGCCAGTTATTCCTGCTCTCAATAAGCTCTCTCTGGGAAAAAAAGAGAGGAACTGATATGCAGAATATTGCCTGTGCTGTTGGGATTCAGGGGTCAGTGTAAAGAATCAAAGAAGAAGTGGAGATGTAATTACAATCTTCACCGAGCTGCCTTAAATCTCGTCATATTTTTTTGAATTAAATTCAGCGTATAAGGCTTTTGTTTTACATACAGAGCATTAAAAAGTGCAGCTCAGAGGCCAAGCTTAGTACAAAGAGTTTGGCGACATTGTCAAGGTCAGAAACAAGCATATCATCTGTGTAGAGTAATTAAAATTAGACCCATGGGTTACTCTCTCCTCTCATTTTAGAGACTCAAAGACTTCACTCTCTGCATGACCTCTTGCCCTTCTTCACTTTTATTAGGAAAGGGAATTAAATCAGTCATGTTTTATAAAGCTTTCCACAAGGATCCATTGTTAGCCTCTTCACAGTTTCATCTCCGTGCTAATGCTAATAAAGGATGCAAAGGGGGATGCCCTACTTTTTCTAATGTTGTCTCATTAAGCTTAGCTTGCTGGATTCAGAGCAGTGGGTGAAGCAGAGTTATGACTCTGTCCATGCTCAGAATGGGAAACCCTGGTAGTATTGAACAGCATAAACAATAGAATTTTACCCCAAAATCTCAACTATAGCCACTTTCCACTTACAGTATTTACTTTACCAGATCTGTGGCTACCAGAGGGCAGAAACATGCTTACATGCAGGAGTACCCACTTCAGTTCACTACAGTATGTTTCTCTTCAGAAAACAGACTTTCACTGATGATCATTCCGGAGCGTTTTCACCCTTTTTTTCTGAACTCAAAAAAGGAACCACAGTACCATCCCTGTAAACAATGTGTGAGTGACCTTGTTGCTTCTGAGTCAATAAGGAATCCCTCCTGTGTGATGGCTCAAACAACAAATGCGGTGGCCTACCAAGCACTGTGACAGTTCAATAGCACCAAGTTGTCATACTGAATACTCCTGGGCAGAGCAGGTAGATACAGTTCTGTGAACCCAAGGTCAATGTTTCTCTCAATCCTCCGCAGGGGGGGGGGGGGGGGATTGCAAGTGGAGGAGGGGAGATTCTGACAAAGACAGAAAGCGGGACAGAGAAAGATGGGGGGAAAAAAGAGACAACAGACAGAATTCACAGGGGAGGGATGGTGTAGAATAATGCTGGAGCTCACAGGAAACTGGGCAACTAATGGTCCTTCTCCTTTCTCCAACTGTTACTGTTAGTCAGTCAGAGCTGGACTTGCTCCTGAGACCTATGAAGAACATCTCAGATGGTCCCATTCCCCACCCCTAAGTGGGTGTTCAGGCCAAAAATAAACCTGGTTTATAGGGGGAAAATTAGAGGGAAAGGTGTTGACACTTTTTTACAGGTAGCTGAAAGAAAACGAGACATGACCCAGAAAGTAAAGTTAACTGATTTGATGCCTAGTCTGTGGCAAATATTATTCCAATGCCAGGTCGTGAATACATACCTTTGGTACACCGCTTAAGGGTCTCCTCTTTTGCGTCTCAAGGCGCCCAGGGTTATGTGAGATGGTTTTAGCGTTCACAGTTGTTACATTTGTTTTCTTCAGTGTTATCCCAAATAGTGAATCAAATGGTCTGCAAGGTTAATGTTCCTCCAATCAAGACTCTGAAAGGTACCTTGTGCATCTGTATGAGACGCTGCGGTCAATGACAAAACGCTGCTATACAGCTATAAAGAAAACTCTCTTTTAGGTTCAAGTTTTTGGTTCATACAGCTCGTGGCTGCTATGCTAACACTGCAGACTCATTGATTGGATAAGGAAGTTGCATTATTTTAAGCAGTCATGATATTGGTCTAAACAAAACCTTACTCTTTTCTATGTCTGCGTTCATACCAGATTTTCATTTGTTCCACTGTAAAATACCTCCATATATACCAAATACCATCATTTATTACACTATGTTTGTCCATACAGTGCATCTCCCAAGCCTCTCACCCCCCTTTCTGGGTATTTGGGTTGCCTTCTGGTTTCTGGTCCCACCTGACAGGCCTGGGGGCCCCTGTGTACAGAGGAGCTCCAGGCTGCCTTTCCCCCAGCTGAACTCCCAAAGGCCACTGCCGCTGGTGCTGGAAATCTGGTGGGCTGAGCGGACATGTGGAGTTTCTGCCTCAGCACAGGCATGCAGACCCGAGACCCCTGGGAGGATGCAGACTCCTACACTGAGTGGTTAATATATTCACACTAACACTCCCCTGGCCGGGGGCTTAGAGTCTGAGAATACTCCATGAGGACCCGACTGCACACACTGACAACATTCACAAATGAATATGTTAAGCAAGGCTTTGCAACACCCTTTAGGCAGGCTTAAATATATAAGTGGCTATCATCACAAAGGAAATACGGCTTTGTTTAGAGTTGTACAAATGTGCTAAGTATATCTTCAGAGTACGCCAAAAGGAGCACAAGACTGTAAATAAGGCTGGCTAGATATCATGCGTCTCGTTGCTGGCTTCTTCTCCCACAGGAATCTTTTCATCAAAGAATCAGAAAAAAAAAACTCTGAGGCTGACCTGCTCCCCTACTCTTAGATAAGCTTTATTTATCACTTCAGAGGGGTTATTTTTATTTTATTGAAAAGATGAAAAGTCAAAACCGGGTGCAAGACGGTGTCAGCCTCCTTTCCATCGCCTCCGCAGCACCTTGGCAACATGCAACCAAATAACAACAAAATCTATTGAATTTGATCAAAGAGGCCTCCATGAAATACAGAGGCAGACCTGCCTTTCACTCCACTGACCTTCTAATAATCTCTGTTGAAGAGAAGGGTCAATGAGGATTCAACCAATGGCATCAATTTAGCAACACATGGGAGCCTGAAAACAGTCTTGTGGCTGACATGCAGAAGTATAGGGGACTTTAAAGACAACTCATTAGGGAAAAAGCTCCACAGTCTGTGGTCTTCAAAGACAAATGATTCAATCCGAGCTGCAATGGAATAATTGCTCCTTCTGCTGTTTGCAGCAACAGTGAAGTAAATATAATATCTGCTGTTCCATTGCGTTATCTGTCGGTGCATGAAGTGAAAAATAAAAAGCAACGTAAAATAGATTTTATAATGATGTTATTGTTACTCTAACACATTAATTTAAATTGACAAATGCACCAAACGTGGAATAAAAAGACATTAAACGCAACAACAGATAGCACATTATTGTCAGCCTCTCCTTGAATCTTTTTTTGTTTCACATACAGTGCAGAGACGTACAATGATACATGCTGATTTAATGAGCCACAACTGCATTTCACATTGAACAATTCAGCTTAAAACACTGATACACTACCCATCCCAGTAGTACAGTATTCCTTACTGCACCAGCTCTATAACCCATTTCACCATTACACAGCATTAGCTGCCCCACAGCTTAATGCGAGCCTATCTTTTTTGTGCAACAACTTATTAGATTGAGAAACAAATGAGTGCGGCAGCCTCTTGTGTTTAACCAGTGGAACACTGAAGCATCTATTTACCAGCATGAGCTCCAAAACAAAACTGAAAAACGGCTCGAGTCAAAGCTTTTTTAATGTATGCAGCACAAAATCCCCGATTCAAGAATATAACCGGGCGTCTGCTGAACACAGTTGTGTAAGGCTTCACAGAAAAGACAGACGTACCAAGACATACCGCATGTTTAATACCACAAAAATATGAAAATAAATAAATAAAAACGCAATCTGCCGCTTTAACCAGAGTGAGTAAATCCTCTGAGAAAATAAATATGCTGCTGTGTCTTGCCTTTTCACAGTCTGCATTCCTTTAAAGCCGCTGACAGTTATGTGCTAATAAGTCATGCCTAACCGAAAAACACGCTTCACACTGATCAAACTCGAATGCCAAAGCAATAGTTTATTTATTTTAGCCAATTTGGTGCGCAGCTAGAATAATCCCAAACCAATCATAGTGAATCTGAGTCTACTCTAACCAATCACAGCGAGGCAGAGTTCATTTCTTTCCACACCATGCCACCTCTCCAGCAAGGACTAAGAGAAGCCAAGAGCCTCTTTTCCAACAGGCTTTGCCAATGTCTCACATCCAAGCTGGCAAATGTCCGGCCACGGGATGAGCGCAGGAGGCGGCAATGGCTCACTTCCTGACCCAAAAATAACTAACACAACAAAGATGCTTGCACTACAGCCTGAGGCGGACATTTTGTTTGCCTAAACTCATAACACACAGGCATTTTAGGCAAGTATCGGTGTCACCGGGAGTCTCCCAGCTTAGGCACATCATGTTGTACCAAAAATAAACACAATCAAGGCCAACCCAAGAACAGCACTGAAAAATAATATTAAAATGCAAACTGACCTCCAAGCTGTACTCTTCCACCGTCCTTTTAAGCGGGTCAACTATTTGCCATGTGATGAGGATGCACAGGTCGATAAGCAGCATCCCGCCGACGATAATCAACAACTTCTGATCCTTTATGATCTGTAGGGGGAAAAGAAGATGAGATACATTTGTTAGCACGATAGCACCCACCGGCTAATGTTATCTATTGGTGTGTGTGTTTATAAAGCAAGGGAGGACTAAGACCTAGTTTCATTCTAATCATTTAATCAGGGACTGATAACATTCAGCTGCATTTACCACTCCAGATCCATGAGCTACCTCCTTTGGGTGAACGATGATGTGTACCGCTTTCCATATGAAGGCTGATTTATTTTGTTTTTCTTCTTTTGTCCTGATTAATACGTTCTGTAAAATATCTGATAAAATATGAGGGCTGCAATGTTTTGATGTGGCTGAGCAAAATCATCTGCTTCAGTCAAACAAGACAGAACTCACGTCCCTCAAACAAAAGACCAGGACCTGGTTCAGCATATGTCAGTGGCAGTCTTTCACATTGTGGCTCATGTCGAACATTTATCAGATTCTACTCCATTTGCTCAGGATTTACACCAGCAGCAGGCCACGATCTTGTTGCTTGGTGGCCAAAGAATGTGCGAAAGATCCACCAAACCAGAACCAACGCTGTGGATCATTAAAGCTTCCCTTTTGTACTGTAAACTTAAGAGGGATGAAAGCCATGGCCTGTTTGTGATCTTTATTTTTAATAGCGTTTGACTGGCTGGAAAGACACATCAAAGGAAAGGTCAGGGAACACAGGCTGGGCTGTGTTCGGAGGGTATCACATAGCCCTCATGCGGCACAGTGGTCTCCATCCGCTGGTGAGCTCTAGATGAGATGCATGAGGGGGTTGTTTTTTTGATCTGGGGCCTTTTGATGGTGTTAGCATTGAACACAGGCAGCAAGGAAAGGAAAGGGGGCGCTACTTTTTTCTAAATATTGAGATGTTGAGGGCAGTCGAGAGGGAGGTGGCAGCAGAGTGGATCAAATGCTGACTTCCCATATAATGAAAAAAGACATAATCCTGACGAAACAAGAACAAAAATACCTGTTTGATAAATGAAGTAAAGTCAGTTTGTAGTCTAACAAGAAAACTGTTGCAACAAGGAAATCCAAAATGTGTGATATTTTAGGGAAATTATAAAAAAAAACCTCTTCAACACGATCTGCCAAGTGTGATTTGTTTCTATGCCAACTAAGTCTGTTAGACAAACAACGTAATGATACTAAATTACCAAAAGTGCTATGTACTGTTTATTTTTTCTCTGTATTATTGGCACTCCAACATATCAGATGGATTCCAGTGTTACTGTGTCTACTGATGAGTTTGATTGAGGAAAACATTTAATTGCATGACTCAGAATAGAAATGTAGAAATAAATGTTTCCGCCTCACTAAGTTCATGTGCAAACTACAGCATAGCTCCTGACCATTTCTAGAACATTTATGGAGAGCCTTTAATGTTAAGAACATATTTAACAGGGTGTGTGTGTTTGTATCTACAGCATCAATATGTAATTTATGAGTACTAAAGTAGTAGTAGTAAATTACCAAGATCGAAAGTGTGACAAGTAGCAGCTACATAGGCCTGAGGGTGAGGAGGGTTACATACGTACAGTAAGGGGTTGTATTAAGTAAGTGTGTGTGTTTATTTGTGTTTGTGGTGTGTGTTGGTGTATTGAGAGGCGGACAATGATTGACAGCGCCCCCACCACCACCCACACACAAACACACTGTCTGTGTGTGTGAGCTTTTTAAAGAGGTGAAGAAGTGCAGGCTGTAGTCCACCGAGAGGAACCTTTATCGAACACATCCCTGATTTACAATCTGTGCTGTCCTGAGGTATGAGGGGAAAAAGGAAGGAAGGCTGGAGGAGGGAGTGATAGATGCAGCAACAGCCCAACACTTTAATGGAAAGATGGCTGACACCTGCGCTTGTCCCTTCCTACCTGTTTGTGTGGTGGCATGCATGTGTGTGTGTTGTAAACGACAATAAACCAACAGCGGAAAAGTCTTATGGTTTCGGTCTTTCTTAGAAAAGGAAAGATAGAGAGAAAATCAGCTGGTTAGGTTGAAGGACATGTTATGGAGCTTGGAGTGGCAAAAAATGTCTTTGTGTGTTTGTTGTCAAATGATTAATAAAAAAGAAATTCCAGTTAAGTCTTTTAACCTGTAATCTAGATTTCCTTTCTATCTATTGCCCTCTTTTTCAAACTTGTTTTCGCATAGTCCAACCGACTTTCTTTGGCGTCAGGGCCACCCTGTTTGTCTTGTCCCTTTTCTCTACCCTGCTATGCCTTCCTCCTTCTGCCACCCCACCCTCCCTTCTGCCACTACAGCCTTCCACCCTCTCCAACTCTTTGATCCATCGCTCTTTTTCCTCGCTCTCTTTCTCTCTGGCAGGCCACCCACTCTACCTCCAATATACAAGAGGGTGTGTGTGTGTGTGAGAGAGAGAGAGAGGGAGACAAAGCGAGGGGGAGAGCAAGATCTATAAATACAAAAAGGCCAAGCACAGTTACAACACTCAGTGTGCACAGCACCACTTTATGTAACTGGGCCAGTGAAACAAATTGTGTCAGATGTTTAAAAAGCCATTTGTATTTCTGAATCTTTCTTTTTTTTCCACAGAGGAGATTCTAAAAGCAGGTGCCAGGGGCTGCCAGTCTTTCAGTGTGTTTGTTAAAAAAGCAGGAGTGTGAATACAAGCACCCACACACCAGTGTTTGGCTTTCAAAGACATACAGTATGAGGCTTCCTGGATGACAGGTTTACACGTTTTAATGGAGATTCTTGTGGTTACGTGGACTGGCTGTCATCATATCCGGCAGATGTACATGGAGTGATAAGAAATAAAAGGCTCACAAGGAGCTTTTTCACTATAAAAGATCATGTGTATATGTATGAAAGGGATTCACAAAGGAAAGCACAATGACGCTTTAATCTTTGTAGCATGCGCGTCATAGTTTGAAAAATCAAATGTAAAGGGAATGTCCTCCCTCGCCTTTACAGATCTAAAGATATGGAATTAAGATTTCAGTCAGTTGTGCATTCATTATGAATCCTGTGATAGTTTTTCCATACCTTCTTCTTCATCTTCACATTTTTGAAGATGGCGTGCACCCTCCAGGTCTTGGCGAACATGGCGCCGAAAGCTGTTGTGTATCCGACAATGAGGATCCATGTCCGAACCTACCAGAACAACAGGGGACACACATAATGGTGTCAGGACTGAAGCTGGTGATCAAGGCTTAAAACAACATCACATCTGACAGCTATTTGCATTTCTCGCCAGAAGTTAATTCAAAATAGCATCATGAAGGAGTCTTAAAATAAGAAGCTGTCAGATTTAGTTTTGATGGCCAAGTGTGGACTTGTGGTAGAACGTCGTGGACTGTTGGAAGCTGTCACACTCCTGACAGCGTTTCATCTTAATGAGAGACAAAAAGAAGACCTCTTACCAGTTTGGCACAAAGCTACACTGCTGATGTGTTTTAGAATCTTAGAATCTGAATAGAGAAGATCTAATCTTAAAATAGCTACAGAGTTCTTTATTGTGTGTCTGTGTTTGACTGCTCGCTGTGTTTTTATGTGTGTGAACCCTTCCTGCAGCACATACACATTTACACCACCCAGCCAGCTTTTCATGCCACTCTCAACCAAATCTAAGAAAGCAACAAAGCAAGGCAGGAGATTGGTAATAAAGGCTGCCAGAATTTAAAAAAACAATGATGCCATCTTTATCTATAGGAAAGCAGCACCTATTGGATGCTACTGAATGCATCAACCACCTTGTCCCTCTACTGTAGAGCTGTGTCTGAAGCTTTGTGTCAGCCAGGTGGTGGCGGCTCAAGACGTGCCCTGCCTCACATTACTCCTCTGTGTGTCTGTGTCTGCGAGGGCCCTATCTTAGTGGAAACTGGTTATCACTGTAATCAAAACTCGTTAATTAATCCAGCATGTACATAGTCACACAGTAATGCTACCTGGGGGAGACGCTTAATGTGCTCCAAGCTAGTAAGAGAAGCAGAGAGAGAGAAATTCAATCACTTTTCAGAGATGGTCTCATAGTGCATGTGATTAGTGTTCCTGCAGTGTTACCCATCATTTGAACTAGTTTTACGAGAGCAAAATATATTAGAAACTGATAAAAGACTTTCATGTGTGTATGCAAGCTGAGCATGTGACCAAAACAATGTGTCTGATTGGTCTAAAGACCACCTTTGGAAGATCTCCGCCTCCTATCAGAATAAGAGATGCAGTCATTAAAAAATCCGGGCCGATACTGATACCAATGTTAAAACATTCAATTTAGCTGATCGGCATTTCTGATTCCAACGTTTTTTTCATTACTTTTTTGGAATTTTTCAAGTGTGTTTTTCAAATGAGTGAGATTTGAAGTATCTTAAGTGTTGTAGGTAGTCCCTCCTCTTGAGAAGTCACTGGTACATGTCTAACAAACCCCATGTCGGTGATCTTTCCAAAGGACAATGCAGGACTCCCACACTGATGACGTTCATTTTGACATTTAACGTCTAAACAAATCAGAGTTTGTTCAACAGGTGACTTCTTCTGCCCATTAAAAAACCTCCCATCTGAATCAACAGTTGGGTATACTAGCTTGCTAACATAAAATTGGTGCAACACAACAGATTCACATCAGCTACAGACATCGGTGCATGCTGAATTATTTGCCAATTGGCTGATTTGTCAATAGGGCTGTTATGTGTTGATTGTAATGTTCGACTGATACATTGTTGTATCCCCAATCAAAAGTCTTCACACATCTTTACTCTGTCTTGTCTAACCAAATCAAGAGAATTAAAAATGTAGATTTCACAAGTATAATCAAGACCACACATACAGGGAGAGGAGTATTATTTTTAAAGTTTGTCTTGCTGTCTGGTCCTTTCCTACTCGCCCTCTGGCTTTTTCTAGACTCTCTATCAATCCTTGTTGTTATCCTCTGTCTCCACACAGTCATAACTTACAGTAGATGTTCTTCTCTACAACACAACTGTCTAACGTCAGGATCAAATCTATCAACTATTCTTGTCCACATATATTTTATAAGCTAAAGAGCAGGTTCAAATGCAATTATGGATTGAATAAGTCAGGAATCCAAACCTACCTTCTTATCTTTATGTTATATGTAAGTAAAAAGTGTTGAGGGAACTCACAGTGCAGAGAGTCTCAAACTCTTTGTCAGACACAAATCCTCCATCCAGGCCGAACAGGAAGATAGAGGCGTAGGAGAGAAGGCCTCCCAGGATGATCAGGTTGTTCATGTAGGGACTGGACATCTTGATAAGTCTAGGAGAAAACAAAGGAGTTGAATGACTTCATAAAAAATAAAACAGAATCAGTCTCTAATCATCCAGGCATAATATTTTTGTTTGAGGAGGGTGAAATGTTTGAAGAGAATGAACCTGAAGGGGTTAAAGGTTAATCATCACTGTTTCATTCCAATACCATTCAATCTCCTCTGATGTTCCCAGCCCTCATTTACAGCTCTATTCCTTCTCCCTGAACACTGATCCCTCATTTAATTTCAAGCCACACCTTTTCGTTTATCTAGTTCACCTTCACCACAGAGCCTTCATCTAATCCCTTCCGCCATCCCCCTGCGTTCAAAGCTGAATGCTGAATGCTGACCTGTGGTTGCGGTTCTTGATGTTGAAGAAGAGGAAGGCTCCTGCCATGAGCATGCCCAGTATAGTGATGGTGGACAGGATGCTGTAGAGGAGCACGTTGATGTGGCGCCGCTGCTGACGCACAAACGTACGATCCTTTGGAGGCTCCAAGCCTGAACAAAAAAAGGAAGAATGATACAAAAAGATATGTTTGAAGAAAATCTTTTAAATCAAGTGAACCTCAAGCTAATACAGGTGACATTGCTTTAACAAATGTTGCTGTCCTGGTATATTTTGCGATCTAAAATTACAGAGTTTAAAACGACAGTGTTTTTTTGGACAGTTTCACTGCCTTCAGAGAGATTTCGCTCTTCACTCTGACAACCTAAGCCTGCCTATTTCAAATCTTTTTCTCTTTAAGTAGACAAAAATAGTGACAGTGCTGCAGACATCCAGTTATTTGAAACCCATTTCCTGATCCGCAGTTTTCCCTGGTTGGGTGCACGTCTCTCAATGCACCGCACGTCAAGTTATGGCGGTCAGACAGTGCACTTTCTTATCTTTTGCTCTATTTTTCTCCTTCCAGTGTGCCAATCGATAGCAATGGCATCATCTGACATGTCTCCACTTACTGTGGTCAGGGATGTGGAAACAAGCATCTTAGATGGTAGCGTTCTAAGCTTTCTTTATGTGGGGCAAAGAGGAGAAGATGGAGGAAGGGGCGGGAGGGGGGTAAAGGGGAGAACAGCCAAGGGGATCGAACAAATTACAAAGTATGTCAACACAAGCAAACACGCAAAGGTTGAAAAATGGACTTGTAAATAATTTATTATAGAGAGGACCGTCTGAGCAGTAAAGCAGCGTGGCAAGTCCCTATGCAGGGAGGTGATGGTGTGTGAGTGTGTGTGTGTGTGTGTGTGTGTGGGTGTGTGTGTGTGTGTGTGTGTGTGTGTGTGTGTGTGTGTGTGTGTGTGTGTGTGACAGAGACAGAGCAGGGAAAGTGCCTGAGGTAGTTTGAGTTCAAGTGAATAAGAGCAGAGAGTGTAGAAGAGGTAAGTGATGGGCCTTAAACATATATATATATAAACACACATCGGATGCATCAGGACATCTGTTTCTTCTTCAGTGAGTTTTACGTCACCTCGGTCAATGCTCGCAGGGGGACACACAATGCTGGGACACACACACACAAATGTGTGTAGACTTCTTCTTACCTTGGAACCTTATGGTGTTATTAATGAGGTCCAGCACATCAGCAATTGCGTTGTACTCTCCCACCTTTACTTCTTGGCCCTCTGTTGAAAAGAAATACATTGAAATAAGGACGATCACTAAAACTGCTTCTTGGATGTCAAAGATCTTTTTGTTTTCATCCTCAGAGCTGGATAAAACACGTTCAAAGCAAATTAATGTGGATTGTAAAGTAGTATGCATCCATGGTCCATGGTCCACACAGAATGAAAATGGTAGTTTATTCAATATTTACGTCATTTTGCTAACCTGCTGACATTTAGTTACATTTTGAGTTGAAGACAGCACAAGATTTAAAGTTCAGACATCAAAAATGTGTTCAACATGATTGAAGAGAATATACATTTTTGTACCAAACATCACAGAAATCAATAACACGGTTGTTGAAACGTTTGACTCAAAACGTCATCATATAACATCAAGGTTTGGTGACAGGGAAAGCCCAGACCCCGCCTCTTGCCTGTGAACCATAGAAGTATGTTCAAAGGCAAAAATGATGGCTCAATGATACAAAGTGCATTGATGGGTGTATACTATGCTGTGTAAGTGATTCCTAATTTGGGAAAAATGTAACAAGAGAGAAGGTTATTCCAGTTCAAACACGGTGGAGAAAATGCACAGATTGGAGCTGCACAAGTGTAAAAGCTGACAGAAAGCCATTAGCATTATGAAAACACACTCAACATCTTTTTTTCTGGGCACTCAGTACGATTCTTTTTTCTATTGGTGACTATCAGATTCATGATAACATAGGCAAGAAATTGTGTTTTTGTTTTCTACTGTATCAATTATCAGTTCATTTTACCCAAAGGAAATGTTAAGACCGATGAATGGCGGCTATCACAGAAAAGCAGCTGTGACAGCACCAGGGAAAAACATAAAAAAGTTAAGATGCAGAGAGAGCCGACTTCAAATGCACTCCATTATAGGATGCCAATTTACAGTACGTTAAAGGGAATAAAAAATGCATTGGTACCTTTGTATTTAAATTGTAATATACATTGTTGATACTATTTTCAAGCCACAAGGCGAGGATTTTAAACAGCTGTACAGCCAAGCCTTAAAACAAAGTCTTCATGGTGTTGTGCTCAAATACAGCTATTTCAGGATTGAGTGTTTTCTCTTTTAGAAACACAATGAGTCCCTCAGGTGTAATATTGGAGGAAGCATGACCTTGTCAGACAAACCTGGGCTGTCTCTCCGCTTCACTCATGAAGATTACTCACTTAGAGAATACACCAGGGAGGAGAGAAGTCGAAGAGACGACAGATTATTCTGTAGTTGTTGGGTTTTTTTTGTAAGCACTACAAACAACCTGCTATTTCTTCTGGTGTGCATGCACAAATCTCTCCCTGTTAGCACTCTTACAGGCCCACTGAACTCCTCAGCAGCATTGTCCTTGACGAGGAAAATGACAGATAACATCAGCTACTGCAGCATCAAAGGCATCACGTTCCCCACTCTGCTACGCTCCATGAATCACCTCATTTGATCTCCAATTCTGGCATCAAAGCATCAGCATCAGTGTTTAAAGTGTTGGACAGGCAATATGTGACAATTTCAGAACAGTGAACTTAAGATGCATACATAATCAGGATAGCCATGTAGGATCAATAACCGTGTTTTCCTTGGCCACGTCCTTTGTACGGATCTGAACAGTGGGAGAGATTGTAAACCAGCGCTCATCCTTTGAGATGCTAAAACACACTCCCAAGCACTCCGTCCCTTCAGGGAATATTGACGGCTGCAGCAGGCTGCTAAAAATCCACCCGGCGCTCAGCCCCTGACCGATGACATTTCATGCCTTTCTGTTTAATAAGTCACTTTAAACGACTGTCAATTCATCTGGGAAAAGTTTAATGACATAAGAAATGTCCTGACATGTTACACTCATGAAAAAGGGCAAAAGAAGCTGAATCAGAGGTACTGTAGTTTATTTTGACCCACTTACTCCCTCCTGCTGCTGTAAATACTCATTAGTGCATACATCTACAGCTGAAAAAAGTCCCAAATGAACACGCTGTTCAATCATGTTTTGAAAAGATACTGCATGTTAAAAAAGGACTTTGAAAAGTACTCTGATGAAGGGCGAGGGTCCGAAACGTTACATGTGATTTTCCCATTAAATCCAATTTAATTGGAGCAGCTTCTGGTGTGCGGACTCTTTTTCTATCTCAACTTTTTTCCCATGCACTTCACATGATCCTTTTTTAGCAATTACAATTTGCCCCATGTCTGATTTGTGGAAGTCTTATGTGGAAAAGAAGGCTGCTTCATTTAAAAACTGGAGGTACAGCTCAGGGATTTCTTTTCCTTGTGAGCGTCTTTATGTTGAAAGGACTGTGAGAAGACGATTGCCTCAAGGTAAACTGACAGCTGTGGGGCTGCTGCTTGTTCAAACATCCACAGAAGAAGACAGAAAAGCAGGAAATTAATTCTTTCTTGAGGGGAGCTATAGATAGTTAATCCTAACATTCATCTCTAAAGATCCCAAACATCTTAAACCTTTTAACCAACACATATCAAAACCTCAGCTTATGGATATTCTCCTTACAGAATGACAAAGGCCAGGTTTCCTTATCTGCCAAGCCTGCAGGTGTGTTGATCTAAAATCTGTACTCAGGGGGATGGCAACCGCGATCAAGACCTCTGATGTGGAGCTATCTCTTAGCCTCATGAGAGACAGTGGGAATAAGAGCCATTGAAGCTTCTTACTAAGAATGTCTGACAGGGTAAAATGGAGGATCAGAGGCGGAGGACAGATGATAGGGTCATGTTGAGGATCAGTCCCTTTTGAAATATTCAAGCTGGGGCTGTCCCTCCTCTCCTCTCCATCCAGCTCAGGCTCTCCATGTGTCAAAAGGGTGACAAATGCGCGATCCCCCGACAAGTGAGGAGGAAGTTATAGAGTGAAGGTTAAGGAGGGATGGAGGTGATATAATAAGGCTGGAAGAGGATGGAGAGAGAAGGCTGTAATTTAAGGGATTGGATTGGACTGAGGTATGTGTTGGAGGCACAGTGTTAAACCAGCTCATGGAAAGAAAGAGAGGAAAGAGATAAACTAAGTGTGTGGCTATAATCACAGCTAATAAACAAGTGTAGAGTACTCTGAAGAGTACTTGTTAGTGCTCCTCCTGCTGTTATGTTTTACTGTTGCAGGTGACCTATAGGTGTCAATAGATGGGTCATCTACATCTGTAAGTATGTAGGCACAATGTATAGATGCATATAAGATGGGTCTTCATTTCATCTGTCCTGTCCTGTGTTTTTTTATGACAACTATTCAAGGAAGAATGTGTCACTTTTTGATCCAGTATGACGCTCTTGAGCACCACCATGAAACCAAAACAAACTGCTGTTTGCCGCCATAGTGAAGCCTCCACTCTCCTCTAGCAACACACCTTCAAGCCCCGTCCGCTTGATTTCGCAGAGGATTTTAGCCCAAGTGGCCGATTTAATTGTTAAAAAGGAAAGCAAAAAAGGTTCTTGGATAGTATCTTTGTTTTGCACGTGTGTTTGTTCAAACAAATAAACAAATAACTAGAACTAAAGACCAGACACATCTAGTGGTAAGACAGTGGATTAGATGAAGAAGATGTGATTCAATAATCAGTTTACCTTCAGTATAAGGCAAAATGAAAAATCAAAAAAATCAAAAATAAAACTAGGTTAATAAAAATTTAATAAAAAAGAGACACAAACAAAACCTAATTCCATGTCTATTCTTAAAATGTATTTATTGTGTTAAGTAAGTGTTTCTTAAAAATGTATTTATTCTGAATTTCTTCAACTACATTTTCTATTTTTGTCTTACCCACTGAGCCTGTGCTACAGCAGCATTAGCATGCACCAGTAGAGGCGCGCACACACACCGACACAAACACACACACACACACACACACACACACACACACAAACAGGGCGTGATGTAAGCAGCCAGAGGGATGGAGCCCCTCTGCAGTGGGAGAGATAAGATGTTTAGGCAGAGCAGACTAAACAGCAGCATGCACTACGCTGCATTCAGTGTGGGCAGCCTGTAGGCTGGGAATCCCCTGAATTAAGATGCAATCTGAGGGTTATTCTGCCCCTCAGTGGACCCTGCAGGCTCAAAAACAACCTCAGGATGATGCTATGAGGACAGCGAGTGCTGAGGCATGTTTTTAAGTGCAAACCCCGACTGTCCAGACATGCACCTTTTTACAACTGAGGACTTCTAGCACGGAAAAGAAGCCCTGCAGAGCTGGTGATACTCCGCAGCAGCAAACCCCACAAACAGAGAGAGTTGTGGGGACTTCCTCAACAGGAAAACAATATTCTTTAATGACTGATGTTTCTGATAAAACATCCTAGCAGCCATTGAGTGTATGTGACAAATCAATATGAAAAAAACAAAGTAACTGATCGTTCAAAATGAGGATTTTCCTTTCAGAATAGTTTCAGTAGAGGTTAAATGACCATGCAAATCCTGAAGAGAAATTTAAGACATGTTATTCTGAGAAGTAGAGTAGTAGTGACACACTTACCTTGAAACTGGTTGAATTTAATTGTGCCCATCCTCTCTCCATTCCGAAACATGACTTGGCCCTGAAAAGAAGGAGAAAATTTGAAATGCATCTAAACTATAACATTGAACATTGGTCAAATACGAAACATATTTCAACTTTTAGAAAATAAATAATTTCTGGTGGATTTGATGCAGCATGAAAAGTCAAGCTGATTTCATTTGAAAAAATGCGCAGTGCTTCTCTTGGCAGGAGAGAGGGCAGAGTCTCGGCTTCTGCACATGCTGCATCTCATTTGATTAGAAGTGGGCAAAATTGATCTGTTTATAGAGGTAAACAAAATTATCTTTCAGCCAATTCATCTGCTAATATCTTTGGAACAACATCAGATCAGCAAGGCTGCCCAGATTAACTGTGTTTGCTCATGTTTTACTGGCACATAGCTTGGCTCAGATGCGTTTAAAAAAGCGATTATTTTAGTGGATCTCATATTTGGGGACAGCAGTGAGAGTAGAGGTCAAAGAGTGTAGTTGAGTTCATCAAATTCATTTAAATTTGTTACCCGTCAAAAATGTGTGTGTGTGTGTTGTTTTAAGAAAGCAACAACTGTAAAATGACCAAAAGTGTCAAGGCAAAGGGTTTGATTTGAACGCCACAGGAACAACAAAAGCAATCTGCAGCCAGGGAGCGTTTGGCAAAGGCGCCATGGGTAGACAAAAGCTATTCAACTTTATGTCAATATCCGACGACATATTCAAATCAATTTGGCTTCTGTGACTTTATCTCTCCCGGGTTCTCAGTTTTTCCCTCTTTTGTTCTATTTTTTCCTTCCTCCTGTCTCTTTGTCTTTGCTCTCTTCTCTTCATCTACCAAGACTGTTCAATGAATTCAGGCCGCCATCTGCTTACAGAGCTTCTTAATTACATTTAACTGGGTTTACATGTTAGAGGCTGGCTAACAAAGGTGGGATGGACAGACGGACGGACGGACGGACCATAGATGGATGGATAGATAGATAGATAGATAGATAGATAGATAGATAGATAGATAGATAGCATTTGCATTTTCTGATTAAAAGACAGCTGAGGGGGAAATGTGGGGAAGGAAGCTCCAGAGCCAATTTTGCCTCAAAAAGATGGCAAGCTTTGAAGTAGCAGCGCAGGATCCCACCCCTCTGTTTGAATCGCACTCTTTGTGTGGCATCTTTGATGTTTGAAAGAGTGTGCACGCGGCGGGCATGTCTATGTGTTTGCACTTACTACTATGTTGTTACACTTCGCCCGTGTACATGCATGCATGCATGTCCCCAGCGATGGCACAACAAGCGACTCCTGCGCCTCAAAGTCTCTAATGTTGCCTTTAGAACAGATCCCCTGCTACCAGTCAGTCCGACTTGTCAGTATTAAGTATTACATTCACATGACGGTGGCGTTAGGGTCAGGGGGATTTAACTTGAACCTTTTATGACTGTAAGTGTATGTATCCAGGTTTCTAGAGATGCCTCAATGCTTCTATAATAGCACTTCATGTCAGGAAAGTTGAACTATTACAAACATTATTGAAACGGCTTGCATTAATTTCAACAGCCCCTCAATTTGTTCTCTCAAGTGCATACACGGTTTGGAGAATACGCAGAAGTGTATCAAACATATGCTGAAGCACTGACTCTAAATTCTCAATTGGAAATAAATATCTGTGCTGAAAAGATTGAATTAACCTCTTTTGACCTACACTCAATGAAGCCGCTGTAGCGTCAGTATGCTCTTCTGCACATGGGGCAACTTCGCTGGAGAACACTGACCCAGACAGGTGTCCCTTGTCTGGTATTCAAAGGATGTTCAGTCTCAGTGGGGGCTGATGGAGCAAGCACTGAGTGTGTGTGTGTGTGTTACTGTGTGTTACTGTGGGGTGTGTGTTTCACTTTGCCATGTATCACTTTGTCTGTGGAGGTGAGAATATGGGTGACAGCAGGGTCGGGGGTCAAATGAGATGTCGGTGTGTGGGCTGCAGGTGTGACATCCACCTGGTTTTCAGGGTTTAAGGTGGGCGCGCAGTTGATGTGAATGAAAATGTGATTCACACACACTTAAACACGAACGTTAGCAGAGGGCAACGTATGCACACATACACTACCTATCAGCCCATTGTGTCTATTTGAGGTGATCGTCAAGATGCAGGCTGTGCTACTCACAACTACCCAGAGGACACAGATACCAATGCAAAGACCACCAACCACAGATTTAAAAAAAATAGAAAATAAAAAACAGCTAAACAAACCCACACAGTTGTCATGTCCAATTACAAGCTGCTGTGTCTATGTCCCTGGTGGATTTCAGTCTACATCATCCTGTGGTTCTAGCAGCTATCCGCACTCTCCATGTCCTCAAAGTCGCTCCCAGCTAACGTCAGACTTCTTCTCCGTGGCCCTGACAGCAACCAGATCAATACTGTGGAGCCCTCACCCTCCCGCTGCCTCTGCTGCAGATCCAGCAGCACGACTGAGAATACAGCACAATGGTCACAATTTGGTCCTCAGAGACGTTTGTGTGTGTGTGCGTGTGTGTGTGTGTGTGTGTGTGTGTGCATGTGTGTGTGTGTGTACACAACAAACAATACAGTAGTGATAAATTGTGACATGTGGAAAAGCATAAGGCCCAAATCAGGGTATGAACTCAACAGCCCTGATTTGCAATTTCACTAATGCTCGCACATGGAGTCATTTTATCTGACACAGTTACATCAATTCACAATCAAACTGAGTTGTGGAATAGCTATGTCTGATATTAGAATACAAAAATAGCATACATGATGTAAGCAGTGTTGAAGGGAAATTGCCTTCCTATGGCTTTGATCATCATGTGTGGGTGGAAGTTTCTATGTGCTTTATGTGAGCTACATACAGGGAACATGTTTGATCCCATTTTATGAAGCACTGCAGACAAACAGAAAGAATAGTCGACAGAGCTCCAATCCATCCTTTGGAACCAAGATGCAATTAACTATAACTGCGAGCAAATGTGGTGTGGTCTTCAAACAATGTTACTGTTGACTGTCTGCACAATATTCCTGCTGAAAATGTGTTTTTGTACTGAGGATTTTCACAATGAACACATCACTTGAGGATTATATTGTGTGGTTAACGATGAACTGCATGTAGCCTTTCTGACATGTTTTCTAAAGGGCATCAGCAACACAGAAGGATGCAGGTTTACTAACTCTATTTGTATTTGCCTCTGATTTATGGTATCTGAATACTTTGTTTCATACAATACACAAACGTTATATGTGACTGCAATGTAAAGAGAAAAATACAATAGCTCCATTTTGGCATTTCCAATGTGTAAAACTTTTTATTTTTTAAGTCAGCTACTTCAAGAGAGAACTCCATTAAAAGGGACAGGGACACAGACCCCTGAGTTTTCACTTCATCAAAAATGTGATGCAGGACTTTTAATGGAGTATTGGTGCACTGTGGTGTTGCAAAAGCGAAACTCAAGTGAAATTGAGTACTTTTACCACAACCGATGCCTTTATGTAGAATCAATATGAAACAAAAACAATATTAAACGGTTGAGAACGAAAGATGGCAAGCCCATCCAGACAACCTAAATGGACTTCATCAACTTTTCATGCCTGCAGTTAAAAGTAAATGAAATGGTACATGGTTTCCAATATTTCTACACTCCCCTGAGTCTCTGAGGAAAGACTTAATGCTCGACCGGTCAGCCTTGAGTGTGTCTGTGCTGAGAGAGGTGTGTGATGATGACCTGGAGGTTTGAATATTCTGCTGTAACACACACAGGAGTGAAGCCTGTTTAATGGTACCTTCCTGTCTTTCTCTCCTGATGCGTCGCAATACAACAAATACTGTGACTGAAACTGGATCCCTTCCATGTGTCTCTTGAAATTCCTCTTATTTGCTCCACCTTGACTTTTGTCTCTCTATATTACACATTTAGTCAATGTTTATTAGAAAATGCCAATCTTTTATCAAACAAATTATCTCCATCCTTTTTCAAGGACTTATTCTCTCTCCACATTTTTCACACTTGCATAATTTGATTAATTTATATGAAAAGACTAAAGAGTAATGTTATGCTGTAATGTTAGGCCTTGCATGCCCACTGGCTGTCTAGTGTAGTTGCTGCATGGTGTCCTCTAGTAATGGAGTGGCCTTTACAAGTAGACAGAGATATCCTGTATCAGCTCAATTGGAAGAGAAAGTGAGCATCCACACTGGCAAACACACACACACACACACACGCACACGCACACACACACACACACACACACACACACACACACACACACACACACACACACACACACACAGCTGGTAGCTAGCATAGCCACCGGGATCAATCCTAAATTCATTGGAGTGAGTCGACAGCATCAAGTGACATCACTTTAGGCTTGTAGATGTAACATTCTTCTAGCCTCACTAATTAATGCCTCTTTGAGTTTTTCTGACATTTGACAAATCTCAGTGTAGAGATATATTAAATGTTTCTTTACATATATCTTTAGAATATGGACAGTTTAATGGCTTGCATCTTCCAAAACGTTACATATCATGACAAGGAGTAAGATTCACTATATTGTGATGTATTTACAAACGGGAGGCAATGTTAAAGCTTTTTCTACCAGGTATTTCTTGCAAAGATTACCTTTTATATGCCTGTATCTGGCCCGACAATGACAATAATATTTGAAGTATTCTTAATGGTATTTCAGAGTCTTAAAAAGATTTAAATTCTTTGATTTCTATTCCATCAAGTGGCAGTCATTGGCTGCTTTATGTTTCTCAATCATATTATAAATTCTGTCAGTTACCATCACTGCATATGAGCTACGAGCTAGCTACCAGGTTAGCCCCTCAAAATGATATCTGTCCATCCACTATATTTTTTTAGAAAAATTATCATGGTATTTGTAGTTTCAGTCAAATCAAGCTGTTCCTGAACAGAGAACAATAGATGTCAGCAGACACAACATACACGGACACACACAGACAGATACACACATGTACACACACATGCAGACAGACAGACTGAGATAATGAAAATGATCTGTTCTTCGTGTGATTATGAAGGGGCGGTGGAAAAGACCGCTTAATGACCAGCGCATTTCCCGGTGCTTCATCATGGAGGAAGCAGCATGTCATATTTTTGGGATGCTGGTGTGTTATTGTTAACATTTTGACAAAGAGAACAGGTGTATAACACACATTAATCAATCATCAGACAAAGAAAAGGTGAAAATCAGCTCCCTGACTTACTGTTACACCGAAGAAGTTGGTCTCGTTCATGACATCCAGCACCATTTTTCCCACTTCGCGGTCGTCCACGGTGAAGTTGTGGAAGGTGTTCTGCCGCTGTTTGACTCTGAGCAGTTCCATCACTCGAGTCAAGGTTTTGGCAATGACCCATATCCCATCATAGGCAAAGCCATGAAACTTGCTGGACTCCACACCTTTCTGCTGAAGCTCTCGGCTGTACTCCCTCTCGTACTCCTTCGGGGTCTGAAAGAGAGCGAAAGGGGAAAATGTGTTGCCTCAGGAAAGTGTATTAGTGTTGGTTTCTGCACTATTTGTAACTTGGTCCAAGGAGAAGGGTTTCCCCCCCACTACTGCGATACAAAGTTTCTGGAAATGCTATTTTGGGATCTGTACTCGTGTGCTGGGTAGAGAAATGTGCAAAGAAAATAAATAACAAAGATTGATTTTGTTTGAGATCTGTGGCATGAAAACACGTATCTAAGATTTGTTTTTTGTGGAGACATTTCTCTCATATCTCCACATATTCTTTTGTAACAGGATAAAGGAGCACTTTTTAAGAGACAGCTACATAAACATTAAAATCGAAGCAGTACGAAAACTTTTCAGCGCTGGTCTAAAAAATGAAAACAAAGTCTTTCTGAAATAACCTAAAAATCAAGGTTTTATGTATCTGTGGTGAGAGATTTTACCCTAAGGGCACCGAAGAACATTCTCCCTTGTTTTACTGAAACCTTGAAGCACAATTGTTAACAACATTACAGCTTTCTCAAGTACAGTAGTAGTTGCCACTCACCCTGCCAGAGATGCCCTTGATCTGCCGAGCGCTGAGCGGCTCAAAGTCCACACTGATGTATCCCTCCATGGCTGTGAGAAGCTTCTTGGTGGTGCAGTTGGTGCTGTTGGCCTGCTCCCACCAGCTGCCCTGATACCAGCCAGGGATGATCCACTGGTATTTACTGCCATACATGTTCAGGTTGTACGCCTGGGAGGGGGAGAAGAGAGAGAGATGTTAAAGCAATGTAACAGAAGGGACAAATAGAGTGACATGAAGCGATTAACTTTCATGTAACTCTCTGACTTAAGGTAAGCTGCTGTCTTTCTAAAGCTACAGCCTGACCTTACTGTTTTATTTCCAACTATGGTAATAAATACTTAAATTATGAACATAGTACAGTATTAAGAGGAGCACAAACTATCTAAAGCCATATTTTCTGACCCCTGAGATTTGAAGCAGAACTCTGAGCCTTTATTTCATACTCTGTTTAAAGGAATACTTCAAGTGGGATTTTATAACTAAATATAAATGTGTCCATTAGACAAGGCTATGTAAGGCTCACCTTAAACAAGCTATACTTGTGCGGTTATTAAAAAAAATGGCAAAGGAATGTTGCATAGAAAGGTAAACAGGAAAGAAATATAGCATACTCTTATTAGATTGAGTGGTATTTTTAGTGGTAAATATGTGTAATATGTTTTGCTTCTGACTCTGTCCACATAATGTAAATAGATTACCTTTATCTTGGTACTTACATCCCTAGACTAGTTCAGTGTCCTTTAGTTCCCCTTATGTTTTATGTCTTGGTTCCTGTTAATTTTTTGATACTAACCTTGTGTCTCCTTTCAGATCTTAACATTTCTGCCCTCCTGTGTTTCCTGCCTATCTGACTTTGCCTGACTTTGCCTTTTGGGATGCCTCCGCCTCATTGTCTGACCAAACTTTTATCTTGATTAAAAGACTTTGTTTTATGCAGCCTGTCTCAGTGTCTGCATTTAAATCCCCACCCTTGGTTCAGTATTGATAGTACTGTCTGCATTCTCCTGCAGGTGATACACTGAGTATTTATACCTCAACACTAGTACCTCACACAAACCTATATTTAAAACAAGAATCTGAGCTATCATCTTAAGATTTACTGTTTATAATTAAATATTTAGAACCATACTAATCAGTTCACATCAGAATTATCTCTTCACTTCACCATCTTTATCCTACAAAATGTAATACATTTATCAAAAGTATTTTTTTGATAACTTTGAAAGACACCAACCGACACTTTATGATCTCTGAGTAAAGACTTAAAAAAACTCACGCAGCAGAAGACTTTGGAGGCAAGGTGCTCGTCAAACTGGCCGATGATGATTCTCACATCATTGTCCTGAAAAAATAAAGAAAAATAAATCATGAGTTAAATGGCAAATATGAACACTTTGGTTTATATAGTACAGCAAATCTAGCACCTCTACAGTGAGTATATGATGTGAAACAGCAGATAATACATTATCCATATTTTATTGAAACCCTGTCAACATGCAGCACAGTTGTTATTACACTCAGTACCATCTTTTTAATGTGATATTCTGACCCCCTGACTGCTCAGTAATGTTGCCGTATGTGCTCGGCCTTTCTGTTTGTTAGCCTGGGCCTCAGTCGATACAACTATTGGGAACACATATTGTGTTTTAGATGCATTCTCTCATCATTTTGCACCATCACAGAACCAGCTATGAAGTATGTTCTATATTTGTATCACTTCATTTACCTGGTCAGTCCCCTACAAAGTACTGTTGATGGAATCTGAACAGCTCACCAGTGGCTGAGAGGCTATGGCAACATTGAGTCAGAAAGTGTCAATCCATAAACACATAGACATTAGTGTCAGAAAGCAGAATTGTCTCCTCTGCAAGCCGGGCTGGAGAGCAGGGATTTACATGGGGATTCAGAGCACACAGTCTTATGATTGACTGTGTAAATAATTCAGACCGCCCGGCTGGAAGTGCAGCATGTTTCATGGTGGGAAAAAGATCAGGCTCTGGGGCCAACAGTCTGTCATTTAGTACACACAAGCATATGTATATTACAGTACAACACGTGCACACACATACACTGTGCACAAGAACAGCTGTGTCAAAACACAAGCACACACATTTTTGTAGGAAATTGCCCCAAAACTAATCCAATCACACTGACACAGATTTGATGAATCTACACATGGTCCACAGGGCTGGAGGTGATGTGTGCTGCATGAAGAAACGTCTGTCAAATAGCTCCTCTTCAACTCTGACACTGCAACAGACACACTCGACTGAATTCAGAAGTTTTGCTTTCCCTGAGCAATATGAAGGAAATCTCAGGACAGACGGGATCGATTATGTTATTGAACACTGAAGTTATTATTTTGGGATTTGTTGCTAAAAGTCACCTTGTAATGAGATCGTTATTCTTTGTGAAAACAAACTTAATACTGAGTGTGTTTTCTCCAGCAGTGTCCTGTACTGTAAGTGCTACAGCAGTTATTAAGGGTTCAGTTCCTTCGTATATATCGATTAGGTGAATATGATATTTATTAACAACACGCATATGCTTAAACCTTTTAGCTGCACTGCTGAAAGACTTTTTTTTTAGATACTACAGTATAAAACAGTAACATTATCAATAGTCTGAATACATGTTTTATAGTGGCTGTTAGCTGCACAGTAATGTAACAGTAACAATGGATTGACAAACATCAGATGTAAATCAAGTAAACCTATGGTGTCCTGCCTTTTTCTGTGGATAACGAGAAACCATAATGAAAACACTTCATGAAGTCCTGTGCCCTCAGGCAATCTCCACCATATGTCATGCATCCACAGATCAGAGGGAGCGACCAATCACTGTCATCGTAATTCCAATTCCTTCAGGCGGTTAGAGACACAGAGCTTCCCAAACATTGCAGCAATTCCTCTGGATACATTAAATTAATTTAACATTGGATAGATTAGATTTTGTTAATACTCTAATACTATGATAACCATCATTAATAAACAATAAATGGATGGTTAATTTACTTAAAATAACTGTATGTTTTGCTGTTAACAAACAGTGATATTGTTACGGACAGATGTTTGGGTTTTTCTTTTCTTTCTATGTTCTATATACAGTAAGAGCTGGATGTGAACAAGAGGTGCTGCAGCTATGTTTATTGTAGGTTTTAATGTTGGGGGATGCCTGGGAGGAAACTTCAACTACCATTGCTGGCAGCTTCTGGGGTGACGTTATTTCCTGCCCAGCTGTTTGTGAGGGGCTGCTGATTGGTAAATTGGGCACACCTGGTTAGGACGTGGGACGACAGCAGTGGTACTGAGACGAGTCACACACGTCAAAGAGGGACATTGAACTTTCTTCTACCTTCTAAATGAGTGGCTGGATACAGTATTTGTTTATGGCAGCCCACTGTGGGCACACTCGTTTAGTTGTGTAAGTTCAGTATAGCACACATTTCGACTCAGCACCAACAGAATTGTACTCGTCGCACGATGGAACTGACAACAATCAGCGCCGTCACACACTCTCCACCCTCTCTCCCCCCCAAAAAAACATAACAATAATCTGAACTCAATAAAAAGGAACAAGCTGGCGGCTCATGGGAGCAGATCTATGGCCATATGATCTATGTGCTGCAGATGCCATGAGAGTGGAGTCAGAGTGCATCAAGCTGCACAAAGTATTGTTTCTACATTAAAGTGCCATTAAAGACTTGAAAATGTTCTATTTTGTCTATTGGTGAGCGTGTATATTCATTACTGATGTATCTGTGATAGGCAAATATTGACCTGATATTAAAGGTCAACAAATATAATAGTCAGACAATATAAAATTCTACAAGTGTACATCAGACCAACATTCACATTGTTGAATTCGGAGACTTCTCTAGTTATTGCACATAAGAGAAAGTACCATGCTGGGAAATTTAAGGGGTCTCTTTAATGAAGCCCTTATTGTTGTTCCACTGCTCGGGCACACGTGTAGATGTGGAAGAAAGGCAGGTGCTGACTCTGAACTCTTCTGGGGTGCTTTCTTGTACTATTTTTACTGTGCTTGTGTGTTAGTGTTTGCGTGTTTGTTATTTGCCAGTGTTTACTTCTTAACACTGCCCGCCCCTGGAGCTTAACTAAAGTCACTTAACCAAAAGGACTCCAGCCAGCGCAAAGGAGCTCAGCCTGAGAATCAATTCTGTCCTGCGTGGAAACAACATGAAAAGACTGTGTAGTCCTGAGCAAGGCCATCAGAGAGTGTGTTGTGTTTAGCATCACTGACAGACACAGGGCCCTAAATTACTTTTATATAACTCTAGCAATAATTGTTCTCAAAGAGGGTAGTGTTGGGCCCAGCCTTAACTACTTTGTCCATGGCAGGGTTGTTTGTAATTTTATGATGCTGATTTATATGTGATAATGGTTTCAGTAATATTGTACCTCATAAGCCCAATCAGGCACTGTTAAGGCTTATTAGGCGCAAGCACGCACACGCACACGCACACGCACACGCATTCACACAAACACTGAACTAATGACGCTCTTTTATGAGACTGAGAGAGACATGATTTGTAGACTGCATGGGCTTCTACCACTACACCCTCCCCATGTCTGTTTGTTGTGATTAATGTGCAGTGAGTGTGCTGTGTTCATGTGTGATCAAGTACACAGTAGAGATTTGTGAAGGCATTTGAGCACTAATTGATCCTAGGTGAGCCATAAATGTTGCATAAGCTGACCAAAGATTTGACATCATCTAAAGTTGTATAAATATACTTCTGCCTTCAAAATATATGCACTGAAATATCTCTATCCATCTACAGTATATTCCTTTTTACAAAACTCGCTTGTCATAAAGTAACAGAAACAGCCTTTAAACCATAATATCTAACACATACATTGAACAAAAACGTGTTTCTATTTGGGGATCCGCAGAGGTGCTTTATCAGTTTGGAAAAAGAGCCGAAAAAACACAGCAGATTATAGGAAGTGAAACAGTGGTTCTGATGATGTTATCAATAACAGAAGGAATGAAATGAACAAACTTGTGATGATAATATCAATGTAAACCATTTGTCCTGAGCTGGTCCTTTGTGTCCACAGGTCTATAAGACAGTGTAGCATGCTTAATCATTGTGTAGTCAGGGAAAATGTAAGGGATAAATACAGTGTAGTATAGTTGCTTTGGATTTGGTTGTTCCCAATAACAAAAGCAACGGACATATTATTATTAATAGGATAGTGGGGAATGATGTGTATTTTAATTATCCTATATGTTGTATTCTGTATTGTTATTTACTGTTTGATGGTTGAGTTTGTATGGTTTGTTTCCTGTGTATTTGTTGTTGATGTTTCTGTATTTTAAAGGCCCACCCCACTCTTTAATAAGACTCTTGTCGTGTCAGATTCAAGATCTTAGACCACATCAAATATGTTCATAACCCGTTGGGAACACTGAACTCCAGATCGAGAAACATATTCTTTTAAAAGCAGAAAACCAACTGAGGGAATTCTTGAGTTTGTTTCAAAATGAAACAGTGTCTGAGAACAAAAGTTAAAGTGAAACATGAGCTGAGGGACCTTTTGCATCTTTGTGTGACGAAAATGTTGAAAAAGAAATAGACCGTCCCCTCCTACGTCATATCTGATGAGCATGAGTTCTGAATGCGCGATAAATAATTGAATTGTGATAAATAATAAAGTGTTTTGGACTTAATTTAGTTTCCAGGACATTTCTCCTGTGGCCTTCTATTGAGTGCAATGTCCCTAAATCTTACAACGCCCTGTTTTATCAAATGTTTGATGACATTTTTTGTATGATTGACTTGAAGAGTAAATCTTTGTTTCTCAAAAATATGTAAAGTGTGGCTGTTTGTGTGGGAGAGTGTGTGAGTCTGCCTTTGTTTTCTGATGTTGTTGGCACCCTCTTGCCTACTTTGACACGGAGAACAAGAGATAAAGACTGGGGGGAAAAAAACAGAAAGCAGAAGAGGAATGCAAAAGGCTGCTTCACCAGCAGAGATTCCTGTCTGCTCTTTCCAGCTGCATCACAGATGAGAGTGCTCTATTTGTGGATCCCACAGTGACGCCATGGCCCCCTTTATCCCCACCGCCCCACACACACTGTCGCACAAAACGCTATAAGACTTCATAATGAATTCTGTGTCTCCCTCTCTTCTATCATTTTACATAGCTGTCGATGTGACAGCAAACAGTTGGAGCGGGATGAGCTGGAAACAGACCATTGGGGTGTCAGAGGCCCCCTGCCCACACCATCCAAACACTGTGAAAAGCTTTGAGGCAATGTTGTGATTTGCATATTTAGAGTTGATCAAGGAAGGATGGTGTCAGCTTACAATGAACACGCAGAGCTACATGTATATTTTAGGATAGACAGCTTATCTTCATGCTTCTACTCAGTCCTTCTGTCTCTCTCTCGCTCTCCCGGACTTCGCTGTCCTCCTTTCAAAATCTTTTCTCTTACAGTTCCATGTGTTAAACTTCCTGTCTACAAACACTCATTTATGCCCCTTCCCACTGACGCCTCGTATTACTTGTTAAGCTCACCAGCTACTTGGTGACATGTTTGATTTACTTCCATTGACAGTTTTCTCCTGTAAACAGTTCAAGGCAATGACTCACAGTGCTCATAGAGCTGCTTAATGAGGCAAAACACATCCGTGATTGCCTAAGGAGATAGTTTAAATGATTTCGACATCACACTTGACTGCATTCACATCAGAACTTCATGCTTTTTTTGCCTGATCCAAGCCAATTCTGATAAACCATTAAAACCAGGAGGCAATGGGGTAAAAATCTACAGGTCTAACATCTCAATATTGGCCAAATCATTTTGTTCCGTCTCGTTTCGTTTCAAAGTAAAGAAGAGGAGAAGAAGCCATTAACGCTTCCTCTCAGGGCTCCATCAGTCTCCTTTAGAACTGCTCAAGTCACAGTCGCAGATGAAATGGGAGTCAATTCTTGGTTAAAATATTCATCAGCAATGACTCATTCATTCAGTTTGGTGAGACATTCCTAAAGGTTGTGTCACTAAAATTCACAGGACCCTAATCAGTTGATGTATTTCAGAGTTTGTAAATAGATAAATAAATAAATAAAAGAAGACCTTGAATCGTTCCATACTTTTAAATGAAGCCTGATATGAATGTTGAGGGCTGAATTACTTGCCTTGAGCTTCTTGACGTTGATGCAGGGGTCGTTGGAGAAGCTTTCTGTGTCTGCGATCTGAATGTCTGCTTTCTCCAGCTCACTGGTCAGATCATTCCTCACCTGAGAGAGCAGACAGAGAAAGAAAAGGGAAAGCAGATGAACATGGTTGACAATTTTATTACGTATGATGTTCATTGCAATACTCGTTTAATTTAATATCCCACCCGATTTTATTTCTGTGCAAGATAGTTATTGTTTCCGTCTGATCTTTATAGTCACCATTTAACCTTGAGTCATTTTTCAATGGGCACTTTATAATTTAAGTGGGCCACTTTAGGTTCAAATTTATATCAACGTGCAGTGTTTAACAGATAGAAATCAAGGTGGCATAATATCCATATTGCTACACTTGTTTCTGCTAAAAAAACGGAAGTGCCAGAAAACTCCACGTGTATCAGAGGTGACATATGGCCAACAACATGCCCACAGCAGGAGTGAAGAGAACTGTAGTGTATGAGGAATGTCCATACCAAATTCAGACAAAACTGAGATCAATTCAGGAAAGTCTTCCATGTAATAAAAAAAAGCCTAAAAATCCATTTTAAAAAAGCAGTTGTTTTAACAGTGAAAACAAATATTAATGCAACCCTTCTGTTTAGCTCCAATTTTTCACGAGTTGAAATCCAAGATCCAAGACTTTTTTCTATGTAAACAAAAGGCCTATTTCTTTCAAATGTTGTTCACAAATCTGTTTAAATCTGTGTTAATGAGCACTTCACATTCACAAAGATAATCCATCCACCTGACAGGTGTGTTAGGTGGGGGTTGTTTCTCTAGTAAATGTTGAATGCTGAAATCGTGAAACAGACTGTGGATCATCTTAGAATTTATTCGGCCGTGGTCAGACGACACAGCAACAGAACACACATCGCCAACAAAGTATTCATCTTCACAGTGTTGCTTCTGTTAGAAGGTAAAGTCTACAAATTCATTTCCATTTGTGTATATCTCTAAAAGGCTAGAAAGATGATATTAGCTTGACTTGTAAATTACAGACATACACATTTCTAGAGCAAACAGTTGTTTCTTCTCAAGTTCACATTATGCCTGGCTCCTATCCAAATATAGATCTGCGTATGAGACGTCTTACACATATATGGTTACAGCTTCACAGACCTAAAAGAAGAATTACTCTTAGATGTTAGACAGATTTAAATGGTACATTCACAACGTTACCAAGATGAATGAATTCATGAGAATTCGTACGAACAAGGTGTAACATAGATGCTGATTTAGACAGTATGATTATTGAACAGGTTTGCCTTAGTATGGTCACAATTAAAGGCCACTCTAAAACGTGCAGTTTTATCACACCTGCTGACTGCAGGAATGTCCATACTATCCAGATTATACGGCAAGATCCTGAGGTCCACTGTCGTGCCATTCATCCACCACCATCAACTTTTGTTGCAGCATGATAATGCATGGCTCCATGTGGCAAGGACCTGTACACAATCTCTGGAAGCTGAAATCATTCTAGTTCTTGCATGGCCTGTACACTCAGCAGACATGAGCATGTTTGGGATGATCTGGATCTGCATATAAGAAAGCTTGATCCAGTTTCTGCCAATATCTAGTAACTTACGCAACCATTGAAGAGGAGTGGACCAACAATCCAAAGCCACAATCAACCACCTGATCAACTCTATGCGCCAGAGATTTGTTGCACTGCGTGAGGCAAATGGTGCCAATGCCAGATACTGACACAATGAGTGATTAAGCCTTAATATTCCAATGATTATGTTGAAAATTCCTTTTAAATGAAGGTTTCACAACTCTGAAAATACTCACACTCCCAGTTTTCATGTTATATCTTTGACTACACAGCATCAACATGTACAATGTACAAAAGGCAGATAGATAGATTCTGACTATCTAATGTTCAGAACTAGCCTGGTTTATATTGAAATTTAAACTGTGATCACAGACACATCATGACATTTCAGCATGACAGCGACATATTTAAGAGTGAAGATATCAAACCATGAGCATTCTGATTTCACTCTGTTCAAGAAGAGTCGTAGTTCAGTGTACCGGTACATTTGCCACAGAGATATGGGTCTTAATGTAAATATTTCTGCAGCAGCTGTATGTCTACTTTGATGTATTGATTCAGTGGGATGGTGGGTAATGGGATCAGACAAGGAGGAGAGGGGAGAAGGTACCCCACCGAGATGGTGAGCTGGAGGTGTTTTGTCATGTTGCCTCTTACTCCCTTTCAGCGCTCACAAACACACACGTACTATGATTCATCGCTCTGACTCCTCTCCTTGGAGGAACAATTTTAGAAAATACCTTTTTTTCCACAGCAGACATTTTGACTTGTCATAGCAGGAAAAGCATGCGTGTAACTAATACTATTCATGATCGCTCTGTTCCTTTTAGGTGCCCTTGCATGGTTTGATGGAAGCAGAACACAGCCATTATTTTTGTTACACCTGTGTTTAGTGAGTCAAAATGTTAAATGCAATGGATTTACGATTTAAAATCCAAAGATTCACTGTTGGTATCTCCTCCTCTCTCGCTGTCCAGATTAGTCTGATGTCCTTAGGCCGTGCCCTGCAGCCATCCGTCCCTCTACCCCCACCCGAGAGTTTGGCATTAGGGCCCTTGTACAGACATCAGAGAGGGTGTGTGCTCAGATGGGCATGCCAGACTCAGTTGGCAGACACAACATATAACAGCTAACAGATGAAGGCCCTGTTTGTTTGCCCTATATTTGTCTGCAAATGTGCATCTGTGCCATAGTTTCTATCCATATTCATGTGCCCTATATTGCTTTGAATACATATTGGTATCTCCCTTAACAATTGATGGAATGCATTCATTTGTATCCGAGAAACTCCTGCACCAAATAACTTTATCTAGCTTTAATTAGGGCCCTAGCACGCTCCTTGGAGCGAGGACCCTATTGTATCTGTAGGAGTTTTCCATGGTTTTCCTTTGCACAAATGAATTCCGGATTTGGGGGCTTTAACGTGCATGAAAACTCACACATTTTTGCACCCAGATCAGGAGAGCAGAAAATGTACATATTATAGTGTTTCTGTACAAGTGAGTTTCTACATAAGTGGGCGTGGCCGTGGCTTATTGGCAAAGTTTGATGTCTCGGTGCATCCCCCTGAAAGTTTTCCAAAAGGCCTCCCCATAGAGGTTTATTTCACCTATATGCATTAACTGTTTTCTGTATATTAACCATGTCAGGACCAACATTAAATACTCCTGAACCCATTGTCAAAACCCAACAGGAAGTCCGCCATCATTTATTTAATTTCTAAATAATGGTCCAATTTCACATTTTACAGGCTTCCTATTTGAACGTACTTCCCTGAGGCCCTGTTTATCCAATCATTGCCAACTCAGTGTCGGTGTGTTCTAGACATGTTGAAGATCTAAAGTTGTGCAAAACCAAGTTTCTATATAAAAGGGCGTGGCTGCGGTATATTGTCAAAGTTTGATAATGTCATTTTTGTCAAAATCCGACTAATCATTACTAATCAAACACTTTACAATAAGGTACACACATTTTCCATAGTTAGTGGGAATCAAATGGGAAACTAACCACTAAGTGAGCACTAAGTAATGGGTAGATAGTGAGTACTTCCTCATTACATGTTCTAGAGTAGCTAATGATTAGTTAGTGGTATACGGATGGGAAACTAACCACTAAGTAACCTTTAGGTAACCACTAGGTAACCACTAAGTAACCACTAAGTAACCACTCGGTAATCGCTCAGTAACAACAAAGTAACCACTAGGTAACCACTAAGTAACCACTAAGTAACCACTCGGTAATCCCTCAGTAACAACAAAGTAACCTTTAGGTAACCATTAAGTAACCACTAGGTAACCACTAGGTAACCCCTAAGTAACCACTAAGTTACCACTAAGTAACCACTAAGTAACCTTTAGGTAACTACTAAGTAACCACTAGGTAACCACTAAGTAACCTTTAGGTAACCACTAAGTAACCACTAGGTAACCACTAAGTAACCTTTAGGTAACCACTAAGTAACCACTAAGTAACCTTTAGGTAACTACTAAGTAACCACTAGGTAACCACTAAGTAACCACGAGGTAACCACTAAGTAACCACTAGGTAACCCCTAAGTAACCACTAGATAACCACTAAGTAACCACGAGGTAACCACTAAGTAACCACTAGGTAACCACTAGGTAACCCCTAAGTAACCACTAGATAACCACTAAGTAACCACGAGGTAACCACTAAGAAACCATTAGGTAACCACTAAGTAACCAATAGGTAACCCCTCAGTAACCACTAAGTAACCACTAAGTTACCACTAAGTAACCTTTAGGTAACCACTAAGTAACCAATAGGTAACCCCTCAGTAACCTTTAGGTAACTACTAAGTAACCACTAGGTAACCACTAAGTAACCTTTAGGTAACCACTAAGTAACCACTAGGTAATCACTAGCTAACCCGTAAGTAACCACTAAGTTACCACTAGATAACCACTAAGTAACCACGAGGTAACCAATAGGAAACCATTAGGTAAACACTAAGTAACCTTTAGGTAACCACTAAGTAACCACTAAGTAACCTTTAGGTAACTACTAAGTAACCACTAGGTAACCACTAAGTAACCACTAAGTAACCTTTAGGTAATTACTAAGTAACCACTAGGTAACCACTAAGTAACCTTTAGGTAACCACTAAGTAACCACTAAGTAACCTTTAGGTAACTACTAAGTAACCACTAGGTAACCACTAAGTAACCTTTAGGTAACCACTAAGTAACCACTAGGTAACCACTAGGTAACCCCTAAGTAACCACTAAGTTACCACTAGATAACCACTAAGTAACCACGAGGTAACCACTAAGAAACCATTAGGTAACCACTAAGTAACCAATAGGTAACCCCTCAGTAACCACTAAGTAACCATTAAGTTACCACTAGATAACCACTAAGTAACCACTAACTAACCTTTAGGTAACTACTAAGTAACCACTAGGTAACCACTAAGTAACCTTTAGGTAACCACTAAGTAACCACTAGGTAACCACTAGCTAACCGTAAGTAACCACTAAGTTAC